CTAAAGGCCAACCATAGCCATGAGAAATCAAGAGAAGACAGGATAAAGGAAACAAAAAGAAAACAATAACAAAACTATCAAACCCAGTGGAAAGGGGAGACTCTCAGTGGATCATGTCCATGCCTCATTTTTTTCACTGCAAAAAGCCCCAGTTACTCCTGCACCATTCACTTTTCTTGACAATGGGACAGTCAGCATTTAAATCCTTTCTCCATGCCATGTTATCCCATTCACAATACAAAAACATAAGGCTTGGGTTGAGGTGTATATGGGGTATTTCACTCTGCCTCCTCTTTCTATACAGTCAGTTCAAGAACATAGCCTGTGGGAAGCATAAGGAGGCCTAATGTCTCATTTTTCAACAAAAAACTCATAACGCTTACAAAGAATCAGAAAAGGACCACATCTCAAAGGAACAAAATCAAGCAATAGAACCCACCCTTCAGCAAACTTACTAAATACAGATTTTAACACAACTGTTTTCAATATGCTCTAAGAACTAAAGGAAAATACAAAGAATTAACTAAAGAAAATTTAAAAAGTGAGACTATTAACAGAGAGATTATACTTAAAAAAACTAGTGATATTAAAAATCCACTAGAGGGTTTCAACAGCAGATTTAGGCTGGCAGGAGAAAGAATAAACAGACTGGAAGGTAAGAAGATTTTTAAAAGGATACAGTCTATAGAAAAGAAAGAAATAACAATAAAAAGTGAACAGAGCAAAACAGGTCTGTGGATACCATTACGCATTATCAAGGGAGTAGTGACTATGGGAGTGTCAGCAGGGGAGGAAATAGGAAAAGGAAAGAAAGAATATTTGAAGAACACATTCACTGCCATCCACTAAGCTGATTCAAACTCACAGCAACCCTCCACGTGGTCTTGGAAGCTGTAAATTTCAACAGTGCTTGGAAGAGCAGAGGGCGAGAAACAGAAAGGGGGATCCTCAGGGAGATGGGCTGACACAGTCACTACAACCATGAGCTTGAGGACGGTAGGGACTGTGAGGACAGAGGCAGGACAGGGCAAAGTGTTACCGTTCACAGGGATGCTATGGGTCACGGTTTATTCAATGGCACCTAGCAATAACAACAAACTGCAAAGGGAAGAGACTGGCCACCTGTCTCAGAGCCACTGGTGGACTCGAACCATCTGAGACCGCAGCCTTTGTGCAATTAACCACAGACTACACTACCTCAAAAAATCTCCAGAGTTCTTCATCTGAAGAAACAGTGGGCAAAATAATGCAACAAAATCCTAGGTAGACCGCTGTTAAGTCATGGATGTTAGGTGACATCAAGCTGATGCCGACTTATAACGACCCTATTAACAACAGACCAGAACTCTGCCCTGCCTTGGGCCTGTTCTTCATCTCTTGATGCTCAAGCCCAACATGTCAATCCATCTTCTTGAGAGTCTTCCTCTCTTTCTCTGAACCTCTGTTTCTCAGCACTAGGTCTCTTTCCAAAGACTGCCAAAGAGGGGGCAGTAAATACACTAGTACATAAAATCAGAAGTCAGCATAATAGCAATGCTCAGTGCCGCCTACCCAAAGCCCACAGCCCACTTCCCTAGATCTGCACCACATCCAACCCACAGCAACCCTTTAAAGAGGGAAGTCTCCCCTTCTTTCTATGGAATGCCTGGCACTTTCTCTTACGGAGCCCTTTCCATTTTTCATTCGTGGGGACCAATGACATATCAGTCAGCAGCCTGGCATGTGGTATACTACGCTATCAGGACTAGTTAGCATTGCTTCTGACGTAACAAATTTCATGGACTGAGTGTTTATCAATTGTTCATTTATTTGACATTTTACATTTATGACTACTTTTGAAAAAAAATTGTCAGGAGGTACCTCCAAAGGTTAAGGTCCTATGCACAGTTAGACACAGGGTGCCCTCGACAGTGCACCCCAAATGATATCCACTGAAGTACTGGCAATGAGCAGGCCATATGAGAAACAACAGTCACAGGAGTCAACCACCCAGGCAACACCTTCCATAGCTGATCCACAATGTTGCAATCAGATCACAGAGGGTGGGGAAAATGGTGAGATGACAAGAGAGAGAGATGTGTGTGGGTGGATGGATGGATGGATGGCTGGCTGGCTGGCTGGCTGGCTGGCTGGCCTAAGGCACTGTTCTCAGATAGAAGAGGGAAACAAGCAGTAGGGAAAGGAAAATGGGCTACTTGAGGCTGAAGGAACAAGGTGGATGGAATACAAGCAAGAGTCTTCACCCAGGGTGGGATACAGGAGGTAATGGACAGCACACAATCAACACTCCCACCACCCTTACTCCTCAGACGCTGGAGCATCGTAAAAGGGAGTCAACCAATATGAAACCAGAGCTGAGAAATTCTTGGGCCACCAGACAAATCCTTGGCAACCAGGGGTCAGGGCACTGGGGCCAAAGTCAGGCCATGCATAGTCCCTGACTCATGCATAATGCCTATACTGCAAAAATGTTTGTAAGTCGATGTAGTCAGAAAAATTGTAAGCCAACGAGCTCAATAACCTAGATGATGTGAATGAATTCCTGGAAGTACACAAACCACTAAAACGGATTAAAAAAGAGACAGAAAATTTCAACAGACCTGTAAGCAGGCAAGAGATTTAAGCAGTAATCAAAAACATTTCAACAAAGAAAAGCTCTGGACTACATGTCATCACTGGTGAAGTCTAACAAATATTCAAAGAAGAATTAAAAACAATTTCTTTCTAACTCTTCACAAAAGTAGAGGAGGGAGAACATTTCCTATGAATTACTCTAAGAGCAAAGCCATTAGACTGCTGCTTGCTGAAGATGATTCTAAACCAGCTGAAACACTGACAATGAACTGCCAGAAATTCCAGCTGGATTCAGAAGAGGCCGTGGAATAAAAGGCATCACTGCTAATGTCAGATAGATCTTGGCTGAAAGTAAAGAATAACAAAAAGAAGCTTACTCTTATCTTATGGACCATGCAAAGTGTGGTCCTCATTCAAATGTGTGGCTCATAATAAATCATGGATATCCCTGAGAAGAATGGGAATTCCAAAACATTTAACTGTGCTCATGCAGCGCCCATACACAGATCAAGAAGCAGTCATTCAAACAGAACAAGGAGATACTGTGCATTTTAAAATCAAGAAAAATGTGAACAGAGTTGTAGTCTTTCTCCATACCTAGCCAATTTGCATGCTAAACAAATGATTGGAGAAGACGAAACTATATAAAAAAGAATGTGACATCAAAATTGGAAGGAGCCTTATATGTAATCTACATTCTGCAAATGACACAAGCTTCCTTTTGGACAAGTGCAAACTTAAAAACCTACTTAAGAAGATCAAAGACTACAGCCTCAAGTATTGACTACATCAAAACATGAAGAGAACAAAATTCTTACAAACAAAAACTCCTGTCAAGATAAGGTGGCATCAGAGTTGGAGTGTTGTGCGGCCCATCTACCCGGTTCAAATCCACCAGCTGCTGCTTGAACGACGATGAGCCATCTCCTCCCATGCAATTTACTCACGAGGTAAATCTTATAAAAATCCATGTAAGGGCCAGCTCTGAGTTGGCTCCAACTCAAAGGCATACAACTACAAGTATGACTAATACCTAAGAGGCTCTTCTAAGATGAATCAAAGAAGATAACACAAGGATTTCTCAGTCTAGGAAGGCAGACAGATGTAGAAATAGCAAGATCTATGTGATATCATACCAATAAACAACATCATCATAAAGGGAGAAAAGACTGACTTCATTTTACCTGGATCCACGATCAACACTCATGGCCACTGCAGTTAAGAACTCAAAGTATTGTAATGGGCAAATCGGCTGCAAAAGTCTACTTTACGGCACTAAAGAGCAAAGATGTCACTTCAAAGACTAAGGTGTGTCTGCCTCAAAACATGCTGTTTGCTTCATATGCATGTGACAAATGGGTAATGAACATGCAAGAACAATCAATCAAAAAGTGATGCCTTTGAATTGTAGTGTTCAGAAAGAATGTTCACTCTATCACAGAGTAAACAAATCTGTCCTGAAAGAAGTACAGCTAGAGTGATCCTTTGAAGAAAGAATGATGTGACTTTGTCGGATTTATCTGGGGCATGTTGTCAGAAGAGAACAGTCCCTGGAGAAGGACATCACACCTGCAAAAAGTAGAGGATCAGCGAAAGAGAGGAAGGCCTTCAACGACACAGACAGCAGCTGAAACAATGGGCAGCACAGCAGATTGTGAAGAGGGGAGAGATGAGGCAAAGGTTCGTTTTGTCACACACAGCTCACCATCAGTGAGAGCTGACTGAAGGGAAGCGTAAACCACCTACCCCCAGAGTTTCAGAAAGAGCAAGTACAGGCTAAGGTCCAGGAGTTCACTTTTCTTTTTTTTTTTTTTTTATTAGTTTCCAGGTGACACTGATGCTTTGATAACTTTTTGGAATAAAATAAAAAGAAGCAGCAGCCAGGAAGAAAATCCCTGAAGACACCAAGGATTCACCAGACACAAAGTTACAGTGACCTGGTAACTCAGAATCAGAAACAGCTCCATCATTCTCTATAAACAGCAGAACGCAAGTTTTAGGTCACGGCTACACTACAGTAGGATACAACAGAGTGCGCTGCACAAATTTCTTTTCCTGTCTAACAACAAAGTCTTCTAGGCATAGTTCTTAAGAGCAACCATCAAGGAAACACTCTACAGAAAAGATTTCAGGACTAAGAGCTTAAACACCAGAGCTGGCATCAAAACACAAGGATGCTCTGGCATAGCCTTCAGTTCCCTACTGACCATGTACAGGCAGGACAGGGACTCAGGAAGGAGCAGCTCTACCTCCACATAGGAAAGGTCAGAAATAAAGGAAGCAATTCTCCCGAACACAGTTAAGAGCTGACTTCTTCCAAAAAAAACATGTTACCATAAAAATACATACCATTATGTGGACATCCAAAGGTCAGAGAGTCATTAAACCTGCAAATGCAAGAAATTTGGAAAGAGCTGATCATTTACCTCTTTGACTGAGAATTCCTTCAGGCCTAAATATTTCTGGAGTCTCAAAGGCAAAAATGCAGTCACTTTCATGGACCGTTTCCAGGTCGTCTGTGTCACAAAAGGAACGATGGAATCCATCATAGTACATTTCTGTTAACACAATCTAAAAGCAGAAAAATATAAATAGTTGGAAAACTGAAAAGTCAGTAAGAACACATCTCCCAATTCTACTACGAACTTCTCAGGACTGTCAGGCTGTGCAGGGATCTGAGCAGGCTTTGAAACAACTCACACAACCCACATTCTCTGTCTTTAATAGAATTTTGGCAGCAAATACTCTCGAATTTGAGAACACTCTGGTGTTGGAGAAGAGTACTGAACAGTCCATGGACTGCCAAAAGAACAAACAAATCTGTCTCAGAGGAAGTAAAACCAGGGTTTTCCTTAGATGAAATGATGGTGAAATTTTGTCAAACATACTTTGGGCATGTGGTCAGGAGGGGTCAGGCCTTGGAAAAAGATAGTATGCTGGGAAAAGTGGAGGGTCAGCAAGAGAGGGAAGACCCTAAACAAGGAGAGGTGGCGCGGTGAGTGCAACAGTGAACTTCAGCACGTTGGACTCTCAGGACGGTGCAGGACAGGGAAGGCTCTCACCTGCTGTTCACTGGGTCTCGAAGGGACGCAGCCGATTTGAGAGCATATGACAACTACAACAATGATACCAAATGCAGAATGCCTCTAAGTTTAGGTCTGAAAGAGACCCAGGCGATAGAGCGCAAAACCTCTTGTTTCAGAGAGGAAGAAACTAAAGGCAGAATGGGTGAGGCTACCTAAGCTTCTACAAATGTTCGGTCTGCGTCAGCACTGAGCGCATACCTGACTGCCAGACACTTTCTTCTTTAAAACTAAATTGTTTCTTTTTCAAGTTAAAAAGAAGTATCAAATAATTATTGACATTTGTATTGGAAAAAATTCAGATCTCAAAAATGTCACAGCAACAGAACTATTAAGTATATTACGGTCATCCTGGAATCATAAAGCTACTTAACCTTTCTGTGAGTCTAAAGACAAGCACTTTCCGGCCTCTCATGTTTCTTGAGAAGCTGTTACCTCAGTTGTATGTGCTACCTGTGTAAACTGCATGAATCAGAAGAAACAGGTTCACCCCATCAATCCTATCACCTGAGTTACCTGGGACATACATGGCCCACAAAACTGTATCAGAATCTATGGTACTTCAAAAGAGCTCTTTCCTCAATTTCAGCAAGCCTTATTGAAAATACTGAGAATCAACTAAAAAAATTCTACACAGAAAATAACTCAGTCATGAAAGGTTTAAAAGAATGAGCCGGAAAGATTAACAGAGACGTTGGACAAATGAGGCCTCTTAACAATGAAATCCTTATGTACCTTGAAAGATTTCTCCAAAAGTGGGGGGAAAAAAGAGAACCTACATATTGAGCAAAGGCAGTAACACATCTGACAAGTGATTCAGCTCTTAAATTTATAGGAAACTTCACAACTCAACAAGAAAGAGACAAATAACCCAATTACAATGAGCAGAGGGAGAAGTCATTTCAAAGAAGACACTCAGATGGTCCGGAAGCAACACTCAAGGTCATTTGTTGTTGTTGTTGTTAGGTGCTGTTGAGTCAACTATGACTCACAACAAGCCTATGAACAACAGATTTAAACCCTGCTATATCCTGCACCAACCTCATGATCTCTGATGTGCTCAAGGCCACTGTGTGGTGACTGTGTCAACCCATCTTACTGGGGGTCTTCCTCTCTTCCTCTGACCCTCCACCTTTCCCAGCATGATGTCTTCTCTCTCTCCAAGGTATGGTTCCTCCTGAAGTTTCACCATCTTCGCTTCTAAGGAGCATTCTGATTTCACCTCCTTCAAGGCCGATTTATTTGTTCTTTTGACAGTCCATGGGATTTTCAAGGTCAGTAACAGAAAGATGCAAATCAAAACAATGAGATCCTTACTGTCTCACCTCAGCAAAACAGCAATGTTAAATAAAATATCAAACAGCAAATGTTAGCGAGAATGTGGAGAGACGAGAACTCTCACACACTGCTGGTAAATATCTAAAATGGCACAAGCCTACAAAGTAGCTTGGGACTTCATTAGTCCTAAGAGTTGCAACCTAAACTGACATACCATACTCAAACTCATGTTTTCTGCAGCATTCTTTACAATAGAACAATAAATAGTAAAGAGCTGGGAAACAATCCAAAGCTTCATCAATGAACGAATAGCTAAAAAACTCTGGACAGTCACACACTGGAATATTACATATCAAGGGACAAGTACTGAGAATTTGTTAAATACTCTACAGCATGGATGAAACTAGCACAAATTATGCTGAATGATGTAAGTCAATCACAAAAGGACAATAATAGTACAAAACCACTAATAGAAAAATTGGAAGAAAATTTTACCCACTGACAGGATCAGTCCTGGAGGATAGGCAAGGATCAAAAGGCAGGGAGAAGGGACACTAATAAATAAACTGGATGAAGGGAAAACAATAAACAAGAAGGGTATGGGTCAATTCCAACTCAGCTGTCATCAAGTCAAAGCCGACACCCAGCCAGCCCTCCGGTGACGAGTCTGCGCGGGCTGTAAAATGCCTGGCAGGAAAACGCTTATCTTCCTCCCTCAGAGCAGCTGGCGGACTCACACCGCCTGCCTCTATGATGGCAGAACAGCCTGCGAGGCCACCACAGCTCCTCTACATTAGACACTGTCATTAACTGGCTTAATCAATTATAATTAATGTCATAAAACAAAATCACTATGATTTGTAAACTTTCACTCAAAATTAAAAAAAAAACAAAAAACACAACCCAAGTAAGTTTGATAATTTGAACTAAATTAAAAGATCTCTTAAGGAAATAAAAAACAAGGTATAAAATAATAGGCAAAAAAGTAATTTTTATAGAATATAGTATACAGCAGGAAAACTTCCTACACAACAAAGTACTAATGGTTACTAAACCTCAGTATTTAAATACTTGTAAGATACTTTCTCTTTCAAAGTTATATTTTTGAAATGATAAATATTCTATAATAAAACAAACAGACATACACCTGTGTTCAGGAGCAACATTACTTGTAATAGCAAAAAAAATGGAAACCACCTAAGTGAGCATCACTTAGAGATGAAAGGAAACCCAACTATGATATACTCATACAATGAAACATATGCCAACACAATACAACAAAGAATTTGCAAAAAACATTGCATAACATGGATGAACCTAGAAGATAATACGCAGAGAAGTGAGTCTGTCAGAAAGGGACAAGTGCTGCCTGAGTCCACTATTATATTAAGTCCACTATTATAAACAGTTAAAGAAAGGTTTACGCGTAGTCATACTTGGATGTTTACCAGAAGGGAAGAGGGGAGTGAAAAACCAGTAAATAATGGGAAGAGAATACTGAAAAACTAATTAAGTAACAGATAAATATTAAGTGAAGGTCACACACAATAAGGGAATGATTACTACAGAGTAGACAAGAGGTGCAAAAGAAAGACAGTCAACATAGGTAAACACTATTACCTACTCACTGCTGCAGTTATTAACAGTAATAAAAATCATCTACAAGCAGATACATAAGCAGACAAACAGGATGAACAGATCTGGACAAATGAAAGAGACTGCACCCATGACCAAACACAGGTTTGGCAGACAATTATTTCTGCATTTATAGAAGTTGCAAATGTATTTATGTGTATATAACAGAGACAACAGGGGACAAAGTTATGTACACTTCTTAACCATAAGTAAATATTGCGAGGGAATGAATTACTGGTCCTACCACTTCAGGACCATAGTCTCAGGGAACATCTAGGTCAATAGACAAGGTCAATTCTACAGAGACAATATCCTACACCCTCTTTATCTTACTGAGCAGGGACTGAGGTCTTAAAAACTTTTAAGCAGCCATCTAAGGTGCAACTATTGCTCTCTCTCTCCCTCTGAAACAATGAGGAAGGATGAAAAGTAAAGGTGTGAGAAACAATCAGTCCAAAGCTAACAGACTACCCAAATCTCCACTTCTATGTCCTAGAAGAACTGGAGGGCACCTAACTACAACAGCTGCCCGCTCTAAAAGGAATCCCAACAGACAGGCCCTATAGATAAAGTGGCTAGTAAATGGGGATCAAAACTCAACAGCATAAAAACAGTGGCTTCCTAGTATAATCAAGACTGGTGGAATTCCCAAGATTATGGCTCTCAGTCTCCCTTCAAACCTAGGCGGCTCAACTTTCAATCAAACAACACACAAGGGCTTACTAAAACCCTTACTGCATACTGCTTTTCCTTCATCTAGTTCAAAGGTTAACAGTTAACACCAGGAAGGCAGGCACTCACTCTTTAGAATAATCAACCATCACATAAGAGAAAAAGGCAGCATCTGCAGAGAGATAAAAGCACAGAGGCACAAAATGGGTAGAAGAATTATTAGTGGAAAGGAGAATCATTAGGAGGAAGTAGGAAGAGTGCAGTTACATTTTTTGGGTTTTACAATCAATGTCATAAAAGAAAATGTGTAGGAAAAAATACAATAGGGAGGAAGGGGAGGGGGGAGGAGAAACAATGAAGACAGTTAAGACTTCTTTACATGCTCAACAGCACTGTCTAGTGAAAAAAGCACTTGGTTCCAGCCCCAGCCTGCCACCAACCAGTCCTATGATCTTGAACGAGTCACACAGTTTCCTGAGCCTCCTTCAAATGAAGATGTTAGACTGGGTCCCCCACTAGCGCTCTGTGGGGCTATGACGTAAAGGAGGCTGACTGCATATCCACAAATAGCCCAGGAAAAATATTCTTGGCATACTTTACTCTTTAATGATATCAATAATCATGCTGTTTTTCTGTTGGTGAGCATGAAAGTATAATTCAATTTGTTCAGCAAGCTGAGGTCAAAAGCAGGTTTATAATCATTTCATTAATTTAAAACAGATGCCAGCACTGGAGGCTTTAAAGATGAACTATATTTGCCATGGACACACCTCTAAGCCCCCTCCACTCTCTTTCTGGCCTCTCACTTAACCTGAAGGGAAGAGAGAGAAAGGGGGGGGGGTAGATTACTCTTCAGTGTAAGGAAGAATATGAACATTTTTTTCAATGCGCCAGTACTTGCTC